TAAACATTTCTCAAATTTGTTTCAATATATTGAGTCGATTAATGATAGCTTACCAGCCTCTGTTTGCCCGTTCCGTTAATGAACTGTTCGATCTATAGTCACAGCTAGGGGTGGAAAGTGGGCGGGTTGGGTTGAATATAGGCGGGTCGAAAATGGATAACGCAAAAAACGGATAAAATATCTTATCCGATTCATATTTAATAAGGATAAAAAATAGGTTAACCTATATCCATATTATCCATAACTTCTTGAATATGACCACTTTTGGGACAATTCCTAGTCTCCAAACTTGAGGAACCCCATATTTAAAATTTTACAAATATAAAAGTTAAACTCATTAGTTAAAAATTTTTAAGTGGATAATATGGTTCTTAATCATATTTGACCCGTTTTTAAAAAGTTCATTATCCAACTCATTTTTTTATAGATAATATTGATGAATAATTATTTTCTTTTAATCATTTTTCCACCACGGTTTTAAATACTTCTCAAATGTGGACAACTTCTCTAATTATAGGAGTTGTTTTGTCTGTATAATGCTTCGGCGGTTGTATAACTAGCTAGGAGTTTTGCCTTTATCCATATCAAGGTGAAACAAAAGGCAAATTTTGTACTACTGATTAATTAAATGCAAGATATTATTAATCTTGACGGTCTTGAGCTAAAACCCAAAACAAAGAAAGGGAACAAACACAATGAGTTATCACGTCGAATTGCTTGGCTATTATTATCTGATAAATATAAAGGATATCCAACTACCACCTCCATTTCTGCTCAACAGTGAATATTAGTATGTAGGTTTCTAAGTTAATGACCTCCTCCTTTCTTTCGGTGGTTGGTTGGTAAGTACTACGAAATTAGTAATTATGTTTCTCAACCATATGTGACTATCCTATCATTCTGCATCATACATATTACATAATCTAAAATCTTATTTATAGGACCCTTAAAATGGTTTATTGGATGGATAGTTTATATTTCGTAAATGTGAGGAATTTTTAAACTAACCTAACATTGTTATTTAACATATTCACTTGACCTAATAATGTAAAATAATAATTTCTTTTACACTACAGAGTATAAAAGTTATACTCCCTCTGGTCCACTTTAAGTAAATTTTTACCCTTTTTTCGGTCTATAATATTTGATTTTTTCAAATATAAAGAAGGAATTAATTTTTTCTTTTCAAAGTTATCGTGGGAGTAAAGAGCCTAGGATTAGTTTGCTATATTTTGAACGAGTAAATTAAGGTTAATCTGGTCAATTTTATTGTTAACTAATGCTAAATGGTGAATTTCTTAATATGTATAAAAAGAGTCCAAAAAAAATTACTTAAAAGTTGACCGGAGGGGAGTATGAATTTGTTGACTAAGAAACGGCAAGTTTTCTTCTACATGAATTAAATGTAAATCTTGACTTTTATACATACTTACTATTTATTAGTACTCCCTCCGTTCACAACTATGAACTTTGCACATTTCTTGAGAAATAATAAATAAAGTGTATAATTTACCATGATATTCATATTAATTTATGTATATTTTTAATGGATTTGAGAAAATGATTTGAAATGAGTAATTAATACTATGGGTATAACAGAAAAAAAAATTGTCTTCTCTTGATATACTAAAAGTGATAAGTAAAAGTAAAAATTTATTTTTAAAATACTGGACAGGTACATGTGAACGGCCAGAGTATTTTTGTAGAAACCAGGATTCTCTAGCGTTGAGCCACATTGAACTCACCATTCAGAATTGCCATTAAATGAGTCACCTAATAAGACCAATTCCACGAGCTTGCACCACGTGGATGGCCCCAAGAAGTTTTCCACCTTTGGATCCCGGATCCACCGTGATATTATCGGGTTCATCTGAATCCAATATTTTTGATCCGAAACATAAATTTATGTATAAGAGTGAAGAGTCCATTATAATTACAACAAAGAGTAGATATAAACCCATAACTTTAAAAAATATGATAAGTTCAATACTAAAAATGTTAAAGATTGATCTCATAAAATTTAAATCTTGAATTCGCCCGTGATTGAATCAAACTTTTGTGGCTACATCTTTTTATTAGTACTACGTACTTGTTACATTTCCAAAGTAGGAATGTTTTCCTATTTTATTATACGTCGAAGAATCAATGAACTACATATGTACATTCATTATGATGATGCAAATTTCGGAAAGGAAAAAACTGCAGTGAGATAATAAAACATATTTGATATTCTTTCCGTTTCAATTTAGATAAGGTAGTCTGATTTGACACAAAATTTTAAAAAAAAGTTTTGAAATATGTGGTCCTGAGTTTAAGGGACAACAACTTTGTGGGACCATTAAAATTTGTATGGTTATAAAAACTTATAGTTAAGGGTAAAATGAATAAAATAAATAGTTTAAATTTGAATTGCTTTCAAATATATGAATGTGTCATTCATTTTTAAACGAATTAATAAGGAAAATGTATTAATTTGGAATCTTAATTAACTTTCTTATAGCTTTAATCTAAGGTTTAAGAAAAATGAAAAAGAACTCGTATAGATGAGCAAGTTCATGTCCCCTATCATGTCTCCCTAAATTCCATAGCCCCGCTAACCACCAATATACCTTTCATTTGCCGTATATTTTACGGCGTACTCCAAGGTATGCAAATGGACAGGGGCGGAGCTACAGTAGTGTCTGCGGGTTCGGGCGAACCCAGTGATTTTTTTCGGAACCTTGTATTTATATTAAAATATTTATTAAATTTATATAAATATATACTGCCGAACCCAGTAATAAAAGGGGTTTTGATTCAATGGTAAGGCTGTGAGTTCGCTGGGAAAGATGGGAGTTTCGATTCTCGCCGAAAGCGGGAATCCTAGCTCCGCCTCAGCAAATGGATATACGGCTTTGGTTGGTTTCTTAAGTTGCAGATATTAGAAATGAGGCACATTTTCCTCTATTTCCAACAGTTAAATTGGTGAACAACAAAGAAAGTTGGTCAATTGAACACATTTGACTAAAAAAATATATTAGTATATATATACGTCAAATATTATTTTATATACTTTCGGGGAGATTCATGGTTGGGCTACTCATTTTGTGCTATATATAATGTTGAGCTAGCTTTAGAGCCCGTTTGGACATAAAATTTGATGGAAGTTTTTTTCAAAAAAAAATCACTTTTTTCGAAATCAACGTTTGTTCATAAAATTTTCAATTTTCACTTGAAGATGCATTTTGAAAATTTTTAAAAATTTAAAAAATTACAAAAAGTTGTTTTTCAAAATTTTCACTCAAATGACTCACAAAACTTCAAAAATAACCCAAACTGAAATTTATATCCAAGCACAACTCTAAATTTCAAATATCATTTTCACTAGAAAAATATTTTCACTATTTTTTCGAATTTTACAATTCTTAGGTCCAAACGCCTACTTAGTATTGACCCGATTTAGCTTCTCAATTCTTTTCCCGATAAGCCAATAGTTCAGTAGTTTTTCGTCTATTAACTTAAAATCATGAGGAAACCAACTTCAATTCCATCTAGAAGTTAATTATGTTTTCTTAAATTCTTATCCTCAATAATAAACAAAAAGACGTCCGTTCTTTCTTTTAAATGTGCAGTTGATCTTTTGCTCAATAAGTAACAGGGTAAATATGAATACAAGTAATGGAAAAAATACATGCTCTCACCAGCAAGTTGGAAACTTGCAAACCAGAGAGAAATACATTCCTTTAATTTTTTGGATTAGTACAACTAAATTTGTCACGTATTATTGTGTTGAAAATAAGTAGTTGTTGCAGTGAAAAAATAAATAAGAATGTACCTTAAGCCATTATTATTCAAGCAAGAGTAAAAAATTACCTTTAATTTCTACAATCGATTTGTAATCCTAAGCGTTGCTTTCCTTAAGTCGATGGTCTATTAAAAACGGTTTTTATATTTTCATAAGATAGGTTTTTATATTTTCATAAGATAGGGGTAATGTCTGCGCACACACTACCCTCTATAAATCACACTTATAAAATTATATTGTGTATGTTATTGTTGATATTGTTGACTCGTAACCCTGAGCGAACATTTTTATACGATAGGCTGTGGACATTAAGTAAGAACCTTAACCATAAGGACTTACTAAAATACAGTTTCTAAGGACTCCTAGTAAAACGTTTCCTTCCATCAAGAAAACCACTGGATATATTTTGCATATATATAAAATCATATATTTATACTTGACTTAATACTTAATGCAGATCAATACATTTTAATTACATACATACCTAATATGTGAGCCACATTAAATATCTCTAGTTTAAGAGACTATAATTTCTAACATTTATAGCTACAATTAATTTGGATTAACAAAACTAAGTTCATCAACAGAAAAAGAAAAATGCAGTCAAAATTATTTCTACACGTCAGGAGATCAGTTATCGAAGTATGTTTTTGGTATTAGTAGAGACAAGGGCATATTTGAACCTATAGTTTTCGCTCATGCCTTGTATTTTTGTCCAAAAAATTATTAGAGCTTTGAACCAATTAAATTAAAGTAAAATTTCGAATCTGAACTCATATTCAAATTTGAATCCGTCTCTGATCAGAGAGAAGTGATGTCAAACTCAAAATAGTACTCCTAACTCCTAAGCATATATATTCAAGTTTCAACAACAATATGTATGGTTGTTAGAGGACCACAAGACAAATAGGATCATTTCAAGTGCACTTCTTCAGTAGAAAAGGCTAAATTAAACTTTTCTATATCAGAGCCAAAACAAGTACGAAGTTGGATTCATAAATTAATGCACCTATTTTTTTGGATTTGGTAGTTTTACAAAATCCACTTTCCGTCATTACAATGTCAACACGAAATGACCCTCGTGTAGCTCTGTGTCCTTGTCCCTATACTGCCTAAAATTGTACACCTATTTATTATAACCCCCAACAAAATTAGTTCATTCATGACTTTGGTCTCTCCTTTTTTCACTACTAGCCTTTAATTTTTGCACTATATAACCACTCAACTACATAGCACGAAAATAACCACAGAGAAATTAAAATGGCACATATTAGAATATCATGGCTCCTAATTATAACTCAAATTTTCTTGTTATTACTAGCTAAAACAAATGCCAAAATTCCGGCAATTATTGTTTTCGGCGATTCATCGGTCGATTCGGGTAATAACAACTATATTCAGACAATTGCGAAGAGTGATTTTATGCCATATGGTAGAGATTTTGCCGGTGGTCGGCCGACAGGTCGGTTTTCTAATGGAAGAATTACAACTGATTTTATTTCGGAAGCTGCTGGTTTAAAACCAACAGTTCCAGCATATTTGGATCCAGCTTATAATATTTCTGATTTTGCTGTTGGAGTTAGTTTTGCCTCTGCTGGAACTGGATATGATAATGCCACTGCTGATGTTCTCGTAAGCCTCTTTGCAATATTCTTAACATGCTTTTGACTTTAGAGCTTGTACTTGTAGAACAGTTTAATAAAAAAATAGTACTACTGCTACTTTGATTGGCCTGGCACTTGCCCCTACAGGCGACGTCCCGATGTAGGTCGCGCGCTTAAGCATCATTCATTTCCGGAGCTAGTTTTACAGTGTTATTTGTGCGATCAAAGTACATATTAAAAGTCTATAAGAAAAATAAGTTATGTTTACTCTTAATTGCAACCTTTGAAGAACAAAATCCTGTGGTCTTGGGCTTAAGGGAATAGTATGATAGTATCTTACGAGTATATTTGGGTTGAAGTAGCTAATAATAATTAACATTTTGGAAGTTTATAGCAGTTTGATTGAAAAAAAGGCAGCCCGGTGTACTAAGTTCCCGCTAGCTATGCGCGGGGTCCGGGGAAGAGGCGGACCACAAGAGTCTATCGTACGCAGTCTTATCCTGTATTTTTACAAGAGGCTGTTTCCACGGCTCGAACCCGTGATCTCCTGGTCACATGGCAGCAACTTTACCAGTTAGCAATTTGATTGAATATAAAGTTTAAGAAATAAAAGAATATTTTTGACAAAAAAGTAAAATATATGCAAGGTACCGAAATTACTCTTATTATGAAGAGTTAATTAAAGGTGATAAGAGTTTCACATGTTCTAAATTTTATCAGTGTCCCGAATTGACATAAAAGTTTCACATGTCACTTATTATTATTTTTCCCTAATAATACATCGATTTTCCTATCAAGTGAGGTCCCAAAAAAGTTATTTATGTTAGAATAAAATACGAAATTGTTTACAATACAAATTGGTGTCATATTGTCTGAAGTGATTAAGAAGAAAAGAGTGTTATATAAAATGGGATAAAGGTTACGTTATATATGATCATAATCTTACCATGCTACTCTTGTCGTTTTATTGAATGGCTTCTATTGCATGACTTAAATTATTGCAGGGGGTCATACCCTTATGGAAAGAATTGGAGTATTACAAAGAATATCAAAAGAAACTAAGGACTTATCTTGGCGATGCAAAGGCAAACGAAGTAATAAGTGAGGCGTTATATGCCTCAAGTCTTGGAACAAATGACTTCCTTGAAAACTACTACACAATGCCTCAAAGAAGATCTCAATACACTGTGGATCAATACCAAAGTTTCCTAATTGGAATAGCCAAGAATTTTGTAACCAATTTGTATAATCTTGGAGCAAGAAAGATATCACTAGGTGGACTTCCTCCAATGGGTTGTATGCCATTAGAAAGAACATCAAATATGGCAAATGGGAATGAATGTTTGGAGAGTTACAACGTTGTGTCTATGAATTTTAATGATAAGTTGAGTGATTTGGTAATTGAGCTAAACAAAGAGCTTTCTGGGATTCAAGTTGTTCTCTCTAATCCTTACAACATTATGCTACAAATGATTAAAAAGCCTTCCTTATATGGTACGTCTTTCCCCTTTTTTTCCTTTAGTTAATTAAGAATATATTTTTTGATAGCGTAAACTCTAGTCAAACTCTTCTATATTGGTCATAATTAACATCACTTCACTATAACAATCAAGTTTTCTTTGGAACCAATATTTCATGTTATGTTATAATATTTTTTCTCTATACCATCACTTCACTATAGCAATTAAAANGGGGGGGTTGTTGGGGGTTGGTTCACTTTTGACAGGTTCCACTTTATAACTCATGGTAATAGGTGCAAGCAACTTTAAATTAATACAATTTAGTCTCCACCAACTACCTTCATGTGTTCTCTATTTTTCTGTTTTATTAATATGACAGATGTCTAACTGATCATAAGATTCCAAACTTACCTTCTCTGCATCACAGTCTACGTGGCCCAGCTTCACCTTACCCTCAAGGTTCTTAGCAGCTTTCTTCCACTCAGGAGCAAGCTTTTTGCAGTGCCCACACCTTAAAAGAGCCATTTAAATTTAAGATCTCAGTAAGTAAATAGAAACAACATACCAATCAAAAAAAGTAAATAGAAACAACATATAATCTAAAAGAAAATAAGGGTGAGAAGGGTCTTGACATCAAAATTGGTAAGCAAAGCATAAAGCTGGATGGAGGAAGTAACTTATGACTCATCAATCACATTCACATATACCTTTAGCACACGCATCTTCAGAAACTTAAAGAGTAACCTTTTCATACAAAAATAAACTCTAGCGAAAAGGTCCACCTTAAATGTTAAGGGCCTTCTAACTTCCAACCTTATAGAGAAACTGACGTTCCCTACCATATAATTCTTCTCTCAGGTTTGTGAATAGTTAATTTCTTTGAAATGACGTAAAGCACTACATTTACTTGAACACCTAACTATCAGAGTTTACACCAGGTGAAATAATGTCCTGCAGTTTCCTCCCCCAGAAACTGGAATTATAAGATTAAGCAATGGGCCACAGAATTTAGGGGTTACTGATTACAACAACCTAGAGTCATTTACAGATCTTTAATCTGCGCCGCGCCACCGCACTAGTCTTAAACAGTAATTCGACCACTCAACTGAAACATTCAGAAATACTTTCAGCGAATGGGTTATCACCATGTGAAAGAAAGAAACAGCATATATAGACCAACAGAAAGGACCTAGACTCGTGCAAGTACAAATAATTTAGTGGCTGGCAAGTGGCAATGAAGAAACTAAAGTCTTAACAGTTGAAACTTACCAAGGTGCAAAAAACTCAACTATCCAGAGATCTTTGCTCTTAAGCACCTTCTCATCAAAATTTCGTGAGTTCAACTCTACTGATGCACTAGGCTCAGAACTCTCAGAAGATCCTCCTGTTGCTTTTCCATGTACTCGCTCCTTCAGCAGTGTCTTGATCTGTATGCAAAGCAGTTAACATCAAAACCTTTCCTGGTTTCTCATGAAGACTCAAATGGGGCATGGAGAAAGGACTCAAGACCATCATTCCATCAATTGTGCAAGACATAATGATTAAAAGCTCGTTAGGATAATTTATCAGTTAAATAGATTATTTACTATCATCAAATGTGTAAAGTGTAAAGAAAATTATCATGCTTTAAACAAATATAAGGAGTGAAGACATAGAATCCTTTTTTTAACAAGTAAATGAATACAGCTTAACCCCAGATATCATTAAAAAGAAATTTATTCATCTTAACTACTAGATTTGGATCTGGCAATGCATTATATCCGGCAATAAGAAGATGCACAGCAGAATCATTTGATTTGTTCAAGACAAAGAGCTTTTGCTGAAGATGAAATTGTAAAAAGGCAGTAAAAAGATATGATGCTAGGTAACTTTTAACATAAAGAAAACTTGGAAAGAAGAAAGCCCTAGTACAGACTGACTTTCAACCAATGTAAACAATGACAATTACCTGCTGCAATGCGAATTCGGCAATTGGTTTCGCTTCACGTGCCCCTTGGTAATCAACAGGAGGTTTTCCAGGTGCAAACACCTTGATGGTAGGAAATCCTCTGATGCCATATTCCTAAATCACAAATACATGAGTCAGCTTTATCATTTCTGAATTTATCTGAGAGTGTGAAACAAAAACCTTAAGTTCGACCCATTGATACTCTGATGACACTTGGCATCTTTAGATTTTAGAATTTTCATTAATTGATAAGATGTATGAATGTGCACAGAAAGATGTGAAAAATGAGAGAAACAGCACCATAGAACCAGATCAAATGATTGAAATAGGTCACAAATTCCGACTCCAAAGATTCCAACCAAATTACAGTGCTTTTTTAAAAACGAAAAGTGCAAAGGAACGACAAGGTCCATGGTTTTGAAGAGAAAAGCAAGAAGTGAGACGCGTTCTTCTTTGAAGTGAAGCGCAATATATACAAGAAATTAAAGAATTTCCAACATCTGTGAATTTAGTACAATAAAAAGTAAATTGTAATTAAAATAACTCAGTGTCCAATCCAATATACTATAATGCTGATGTTGTTCCAACTTCTCAAAGTTGAGAATTGAGATTGAAAGATGCGACTGGTTCTCATTAGAATCACTTTGTGCACCACTGTTTGATGCACAAACTTCTCTAAAGTGCATGGCTTCACCGATGGAGTTATGACCCCTTGCTTCACATTGCTTCCACGCTTTAAGAGACAAAATGATGCCTTTTAATTACACTAAACCAAATTGTCCTAATTTGACTTTACTACTCAGCTTCTTCCCGTATTCTATTAGATTGGAATCTTACTCAGGCAAGGGAGACTATAAGCTATTTTAGATTAGTTCCCAATCCTCCTAGTATTATTCTATTTCCTAGAAAAATTGGAACATGAAACCATGTTCTAGAAGCTTCAGTAGCCGACTAGCCGCTGTGAAAATAAAAATAAAAGTGGACCAAGTCATAGCAACTACGCACAAGTTCAATAATTCTTTAACTTTTTTGGTTGTTTCAATGATTCTTTAACTATGCTAAAACGTCAAGGATTCTAATTATTTCTGTAGAATTAAATGGTTCAAAAACAGCAAGCCAGTCATTGAAGAATAGAACCTAAGTGAGATAGATAGAATTCGTTTAGCTAATTTTCTCCTTTACTCTAGACATATAGTCATATTCATCTCTATATAATCAGGGATACTTCCTTATCATGTTAAGATTGCTCCAAATACCTCAATCATAATGCACAAAATAATTTCCAAAGCGTAGAAGCCCAGAACTGAGTGATCCACCATAATTCAAGCAAAGTCTATCTGTGTTATATGAATCTGGGCATGGATATGTATTTTCTACAGTATACTCTGCTATGAGTATGTGCAGTTAATTTCAGTGTATGCTGAAGAATTTGCACAAAGTGGTCATGCCCATGTCCCAACCCATACGATTAAGTCCACAGATACGAATGATTTCAGTGACACAGGGTAATTAAATGACGACATGTATCTCACTTCTTTCTTTTTTCTTTTTCCAAAGAAAGATGATATACATCTCACCTTTGAATGCTCTTTCAGTTTTTATCAATCAGTCATCAACATTTTTTTTTTGATTGTTTGTTTCAGTCATCACCATCCCTTTAGCATATTATCTCTGGTCCATAACCAATACCATACTAGAAGGTTTCATTTCATCATCTCAATACAACCGTATCTGATCTCCTTGCAGATTTTAATAGTTCTTGTTCAGGTTACAAGACAGAAGACACTACTATAATTGATTTAGTAAATGAATATCCACGTTTAAGACAACATTAACCAAAAAATACCTGTGCGAGGGATTTGTGAGCATCAGCGTCAAGAGCTGCTACGGTGGCAACACCTTTCAATATAGTAGCTGCCTTTTCCCAATGGGGTGTCAGAGATTGACAATGACCACACCAAGGCGCAAAGAACTCAACTAAAACAATTCCATTTGAATTTAGCACCTGCAATCACCCATTAATAGTTGAAGTTTTTTGAAATGCAATTTATACTTTGCAGTGTCGAATACATTAAATAGCTGATATAAGGCAATAAAAAACCCCAAAGTAGGATATAAACACATTTCATAAAGATTCAGATGGGTACTAGTTTTACCCCCCGAAAACTTTTTATTTTTACTTGATTAAGTTATAATTTTTGAAAATGACAATTGAAGCTTATACAGATTGCTGTTTTTCACTCTTTGCTAATGATACAAAACTTAAAAATATTAATTTTGCAGTGTCAAAGTAGTCTACAAATCATTACCACTAACACATACTCCAATAAAGCAGTGCATAATAGCTAATAAGGACTAATAGAACATCAATGATCCACTCTGTAGAAAATTAACAGTGTGTGTTTTGCCCTAAAACCAAGAAAGAATGGCATTAATCAATGAAATAATTCAGGAAAAACTCAAATTCCAGTTCAATCCATTCCCAAATATTACACCAACAAATACTGATCTCGCGTTTAGAGAAGACAGTCATGGATATTACAAATGGGTTTTCCCCTTCAACTAAAATCAAAGCGAATCTATGTTATAACAATTGGGTCTTGAATGAAAATTGGAGAAAAATAGGGAGCTGAAAAGAAGGGAGAAAATACCTTAGACTTAAAGTTGTTGGGATTTAACTGAAGAACTGGGGATGAAGGTCCGTACAATGCATTGACGGTAGCAATAAGGTGTACAACTATCAATAAAAGTGGAACAATCGAAGCTCGATCCATTCTTTTCTTCTTTCGTCGTTTCTGTGAAAGAGAATTTTGGAGTATTAATGGTGAAGGCTAATATTATCGAGGAGTAAAGAAAGAGAGAAACACCATGTTCTAATTTCTATTGCCGTGGCAATGACTACGTGGTATTAACCAATTAGAGTTGTCCATGTCAGCTTATGATGTTATATCGGTTTCAGAGATCCAACACAATGAGACTGGACTCGATAGTTGGAAAAACAAAAAATGGACGGTATGAGTTGTTTCCCTTTTTTTTCCCTTCTTTCAAGTACTAGAAAGTTCTAGATATTTTCACCAATACTTTGGTTTTTTTTTAAGTTTACCATTTAGTATATGATGTTTATTGAAGTGATTAATTTAGATTCGCACGTGAATAGACCCTATTAAGTTGGAATAGGACGTTTTCTAAGGAATTTTTTTTTATTTTCAAGGTTCGAATTCAAACTAGTTAAAAGTAGAGAGATATCATTATATTCGGGCGGATCTATGTATTGAGTTGGGGGTGGCACGCCACCCGATCGTTCGGATAAAGTTTTATATACATACTAGTATTTTTCACAAAAACGCCTACATAAGGAACAAGTGGCACCCCAAGTCACAAAATGATTGAAGGTGTCATGATTGATGTGTTGAAATTCCATGCACAATACTTGGGATCGAGACTCTTCAGATGCAATCATTGTTCCCTTTTTGTTCTTTTTGTTAATTTCTCTTATTTTCTTCATCTTAAATATTCACTTTTCTGGATGTTAGTATTTTATTTGGATGGATGTAATCTAATCATTTTCTTTTTATCCATATAATGTTATTTTATTAATTATAATTTTTTTTAATAGTGATGCATCAAAGACATAATATAATATTAATCAGCTACATGTAGATGGAAGGGGTGTATCGCATATTCGTTTATGCATAAAATAAATTTTAAATTGAATTGAATAAATTCAAAATGGATCGAACTGAACCGAACCGAAGTAATCTAAAACGGATCGAATCGACTGAATGTACACTCTAATTCAATCTTCTTTACTAGTGGTCATTTTTTATTAAAATAGTGGCACCCGTAACCATGAAATCATGGATCCGCCTCTGGACTTATATCATAGGGACAAAAAAAATAATTAACTTCGATGGGATCAAGCTAAAAGAGAAAAGTCATTTCGGAATTACACCTTGAATTAATAAGTTAACTGCTTATTGATGTAAAATCGTCTGTTCTTCCGAAAGTTCTTTAAATTTTAATAAAAGAGGTTCTTATAATTTCCGAATTTAAGGAGATGCAAGATATGATTTACTTTTTTTCAAAGTAAGAGAGTCAATTCATCAAATTTAAAATTTCTCTATGTAATACGTATAACGTGACTGCGTCCTCTCTTTTCTTACCACTAATACAGTTAGTTCAAATTTGCTTGTAGATCTTTTGAAAAGCTTTTAAAGGGTTTGTTTGGTTAAATCTTTTTTAACAGATTTTTTATTAGAAAAGATTGGTTGAGCAGTTTCTTTTTCAGCAAATATTTTTCATAACTTCTACTTACAAAGTTTTTAGACCTATAGCTATTCAAGCACAATTTTGTTTTGAACATTTGACCTCAAAAATATTTCTTCAACGAAGAAAAAGACTATAATGCTACTGTATTCAACTAACAAGAAGAATTAANATATATATAATTGTGTATAACTAATATATAATAGATGTATACTAACAATGCATTCGTTCTTGGGTTAGCTATAGTTCGAACTTATTTTGGGCTTCAAAAGCCAGGCACAGTGTGGTGCGGCACGGGCTCACAGCTTTCAACATTCTGAACTTTAGTTCTACAATGAATTTCAGTTAATATACATTATCAGTATTAAAAAAAAATTACACTATCAAATTGAGCTGACTTGAATTTCTTAACACATCTTTGAAGTTCTTCTTCATCTTCATTACCATAATCTCTAGTATGTTGATCCTCTGAAATGTTCAAACCCGCCAAAGCATCCTCAAATTATATCCTGCAATCGAGAGTGAGGGGCATAGCGATACAGTGTTCATACTTGAGTTACTTAGATCCAGTAAAAATACCTTTGAGGGTCTCAAGAAATCCTCTTACGTTCATTTGCAAGAAAGAAATTGTACATTAGGTGGTTGTCTTGAAGAAATTATGCCACGTCAACACACTTGATTCTCTAGTACCCACATCTAGAGCGATCAAAACGAGTTGACCCATACCGTCCATCTAAAAGCGGAACAATTCAAGAGAAAAATATAAAATTGACCGATCGGCTAAAATTAATTGTATTTTCTAGTAAAACAAATATATAATATATATTATTGGCTATTAATTTAAGGTGTGGCTAAAAATATAATATATATTTCTCAGAATTCAACGATTCAGCCCAAATCGACACTGATCTTTATTTGAAAGGGCCTTAAAAATATTAGCCCAACTCATTTCTCCGCGGTTGGCTCGTAGGCTAGCTCTTATTTATTTTTTAAAAAATGAGTGAAAAAAGATTTCGAAAAGATATGATAAATTTGGATGAGGTATCAATTTCTTTATTTATTAGACATTTCATTCAAAGAACTAAATCTGTCAAACTTCCCTCTAAAGATTCCCCAATTATCCTATATTACTGGAAATTCTGATGAAGCAATTTACAACAATTCTATTTGGTGAATCTAGGAACCAAACGTGAAATAGTAGCCCTCAATGGCGAGGTAAGTGCCTAGAATTCTTCAGAATTTAGAACAAAATATTAGACAATTTATAAATTCAAAGAAAAAGTATTATGAAATAGCAACTACTTAAGTTTTTGTTTCAAAAGACTAAATAGATTAATAGCTTATTTGGCCAAGCTTCTTTTTAACCAAAAGTGCATTTTTTTTTGTTGCCAAAAGTACTTTTTTCCAAAGTTAAGGTGTTTGTTCCAGCTTTTAGAAGAAAAAAATACTTTTAAGTTGGAGTAAAAGCAACTTTTGAGAAGCGAAAAAAAATAGTTTCTTCCAAAAAATATTTTTTTGAAAAATACTTTTGAGAAATATACACTTAGAAACACTTTTTTAAAAGCTTAGACAAGCATTAATCGATGCTCAAAAATGATTTTCACATTAATTAGCTAAAAACAAACTGCTTAAGTATTTTTAAAAGATCTTCGAGAAAAAGCATTTTTTTTTAAAACAAGCTGATTTTAAAAATTTGACAAAACAAACTATAAGACTAACTAGACAGTTGAATTGCATGATTCTAACCCAAAAATCTATTCAAATCGATTTAGCACAACGAAATACATATAATTTAAAGATCCATGCACGGAGAAAATGACAAGCAAACTAATCATATTTTTTTCTCTATTATTTTACGGAATTAATTATTAGTTATCTCTGTCTTTCTCAACCCTCTCCCCACCCTAACGGACACACACCAAAACACAGTAACAAACACAAAAAATAGTAACTTAAAGACTAAAACTCAATTTACCCCGTAACCTTTATAGGTTGGGAACGGATATCTCTCTCACCTTTTGAATAGAAAAAGGAACCCCCTTATGTATTTATTTTTTTTTCGATTAGGCTTTCTTCTTCTTTTATTTTATTTTATTTTTTTGAAAAAAATTATTATCCATCAAAGTAAAAAGTCAAAGCAATCCTTTTTTGGAGGGAATATAGTTGGCACTAAAAAATAATTTTGACGCTATATTTTGGTAAGATTACAAATTATAGTAATTTATTTTTAAGTGAAATCTTGGATTGTTGCTCTTCGTCGATCGTCATGGAGGAATTCATATCTTTTCAATCCAACAGCAAGAAATTGCAACAACAAGAACTTTCCAATCCTATGTCTTATTATATAATACAATTTTCTAGTACGGCATCTTTTGATAGTGTCACTTTAATTTATTGGCCTAAAATTTTGATAAGCATTGGATTATCAGTTGTTGTTTATGTATCTAATAACATTGTGTTCTATGGTCCTTTGACTCACTTTCGCTTGTTTGAGTTCTAGTAAAGAATAGCTGGATTAGCTTTCATCTAGAAGGTGCAACAACACAGAAAATTGTCCTTAGGATTTTAGTCACACTCTTATATTTAATCAGGGTTTGTTAATATGTGAAAAAAAGACCAAGAATAAACAAGGAGTTGTTTTTTTTTATAAAAAAAAGCCTAATAGGAAAAAGAATGAACAAGGGGTTCCCTTTCCCATTCAAAAAATGAAGGGGTATCCTTTCCCAACTTATAAAGATTAAGGGGTAAACTGGAATTTACTGTAACTTAAATCTCAAGCAAGTGACTAGTCTTAATCGAAATCCAATTTGACTCTTTATTTTGGTAAAGCGTCTACCAAACACATAACGAACTAGGCTAGCTACTTCTCTCAAACGTTTCTATCAAGAAGCCATTGCGAAGTAGATATCATTATATCTCAAGAAAATAACTACTCCTATAACATTGTATTTTCAATTTAGTAGTGGCAATTGACACTCAACCAAATAAGAATTAAAGTTTATAAACGCCGGCTATTGGGTAAAGCAAATAAAGCACATGTTTTTATGCCCCTAAAAATTTGGGGTGGGTGGGGGGCACTTTTTATCATTAGGGTTATATTTTTATTTTAAAAAAGTACTTTCCAGTAAAAAAAAAAAGGCACTATATATTTTGATTATACAAGGAAAGATAATTCTTCTTTTATCGTTCTCACCAAAAACGTATACACTACTTTACTATTATATTTTTATTTTTTCCTCCAAAAAAGTCCTCTTGCAATATTGTTCTGGAAAAGCTAAAGTGTATTGTTTTGTGTATTTTTGGATACCAAGCATATAAAAATTATATTGAAACAACAAGTATTTATTTTCAGATCAAGTTATTGAACTAGATTTTGTTATTTCAACTTTTTAGTGTTATTTCTCAACTAATTTTTTTTAGAATCTCTATTTCGTAGGTACATAATATTACAGTCGGTTGAAATAATTTTATTTTTATTCTTTCCAAAAAAGTATCAAATAAGAAGTACGAGTCCGGTTATTCGGAACGTCAAAAAAGGTTAGGTTGAATCTGTGAGAAAAAATATATCTATGAAAGCTATTTTTTTCAGGAAAAAAAAATTAAGGCTTTTCATTGAAATTTGGCCTTAGGCCCCTATTAGTGTTGAACCGCCCCTGTAATTTG